TAATATGCGGTGTATCCACACCGATATTTTTTAGTTAATTGCGTGAAAAAAGCATGATTAAAGAGTCCAGTTGTGCATTATCTGTTTATTTATAAGCTATGGTGAAAGCATACACATTTTTACCTCCTCCCGCTGGCGATGGGTGGAGACCCATGTCCCGTCTAAGCAGACGGATTTTAGTTAAAGCATGATAAACAAAAAAAAGCCACGCAAAAACTTGTGCTCTGCGTTATATAGGATGATTAAAAAGAGTAAAAAGTCCAGCCATATGCTTTTTCTGTATTCTTACGCCTCATCAAATTTATTTATTACTCAAAGCAAATCGTTTAATCTTTCCTTATATGGAAGTGAAAGATCTTAAAATAACTTCTCTTTTGAAGTATTAATCTAATTATTATTCATTGGCATGTTTTTAGCCTTGAAGTCCCAAAATAGAATTTCTACCCTTATCCTTTACTAAAGATATTTTATGAAAAGGAATGAAGTTTTAATGCTTTTATTAATACAAAAGTATTTAATTTTTGTATTACATATGTATATATATATAAGATAAAAGTTTAAATAAATCCCTCCGTAAATTTTCAATCCATGGCCGAATTTAGGAAAAATATATTTAAAGACTGCCGTTCGTCATGTTATCCCATCTACAATAAATTTTCATATCTAACAATCCTTGTAAAACGACAGATACGAATTATAGATATCATACTATAGATATTTTCTACATGATCAGCGATGCATAAAATGTGAAGATAACATCTTCGTTGTAAACTACTCGTCAGTTAGCAATGCTCGTTCAGATATGATAGATAGACACATTGTATCTTCATCGTTAGGTAAACGATTAATGCGATAAACGCACGCAAGGAATCGGCGCCAGGATTGTGCGCACATTTACTCACTTTTGGCGCGTGTTTCCGAGAAGTTGTTTAATTCCGAGTTCCTGTTTAATTGTTTGAAAGAATGAAATGATTCCGACGTCTCTCGACCCGTTGAAGGAGTGAAAGTTTCAACGAGTGTCTTAATAAGACCACCGAATTATGTCATTCCTTTTAAAATTATAGAATAAGAAAGAGGCCACAGAATAATAATTATTCCAAATAATACCATAAAATGTGTGGCTGATGATGATTATTAAAGATTGTTTTATGGAGAGAAATATAGAGTCAATCGGTCAAAGAACACACATTCCTAAAATAAGGATATTATAAGAATACAACCATTTCACGTGATATTGTTGCTTTCATTAAACAGAAATTATGTCAAACTACACGGATAATTTTAGTACCATTCCTTTTATATATATATAATTTTTTTAATTTTCCTTTTTAACTGTGGTATTCTATTCTGTATACCTTTTACTGTAGTATTTCATCCTATTTTATCTGTTTAAGAAAAGAACAAAAAATGCATAAATAAATATAACTTGACCCGTTTAAAATTTTAACAAAATACAAGCACGTTAGAAATAAAAAAAATTAGCAACATATGATAAAATTATCTCCCTCTTGTTTAAAATTTTCTTCTTTAGCCAAATTATATTTTTATTAGTAGATGTGTAATCCTCCACAGAATTTTTCGAATTTATTGCTTGGGACCTCTAGCGAAAAACGTTAACACTACTTTGAATAACCCTATTTAATTTTCACAATTAATTTAAATTAATTTTCACAGCTGGATATTTACTCTACTCGGCAGTATTTTCCGAATTAATAGGCAAGAATTTGAGACATGTAACGTGCAGTATTTTAGGCTCTATGTTCAATTTATCTGACAAAATTTTTCGTATACAATTCTGCAAACAGTAATTTTTTTTTTAATGGTGTGTTACTATTATACATTTCTCTGTTAATATGAAAATATTTTTGTTTTTACTTGAAGAGAATTATTCATTATCCTCCAAATCACTTTTCATCAGTTTATGTGTTCGAATCGCTGGTTTTTGCTAGTGGATGACTGCTCCGTTATGTTAACGCAAAATGTCCCCCTAAGCAAAAGAATCAAACGACGTCGGGCCAACCGTGGGTGGGATTCGTGGTTTTCCTCCTCCCTAACAAGAGACTTTCGCGAAAACAAATTTGTTCCAATGCTTAGGGGAGTAAGTTTGCATTTTCATAGCAAGCAGGCTGCCAACTTTCTACGCTTTTTTAAAAAATTTTCACTAGTAGTCGCTAAGGCCATGTTTGACTTTTTGGGCCATTTTCAAAATAAACATAGAGAATACTGTCAGGTTAAACTTGACCAAACAGTCATTAGTAAATGTTGCAAACTTACAACAGTTACAAAAATAGCACATTATTTTCAAAAAAGTATCATTTCATGCAAGTATACAGAGTCTTCAAAAAAATAACCTATTATTAAGTGTCACTGGTATGTAAATATTAGTTACATAACTATTAGATCTTCGAAAAGTTTCTGTTGGATGTCTTCATCTCGATCTTATGGAACGTGAAGCAAACTTCGTGATTCCGGGAAAAAATACTAGTTTGATTTGAAATACAAGATTTTACTTCACAGCTTTATTCGCTAACTCTTAACATTCAGAAATGTTTAAAACCTAAAATTCAAATCACATAACCAATATTAACAGCTGAATTTTTAAGGAACTTTAATTTGCAAATGTCAAACGAAAGGAACAAATATCAATCCACACTAATTTCTTTTTTTTATTTTATTTATTTATTGCTTTATTTTATTTATTTATTTTTATTATGGGTCACTTTATCGGTAATCCATTACACTGTGAGTCGGGTATGTGAAATGAGCCAGCAAAGCGATCTGAGAAAAAACAGCTCAAGTAATTCCTGGGGTAGATGAGCGATATCGATCAAGGTTTTTTGGCCTTGTGGTCTTTAATATATTTAAAATAAAGCGTAGGAGAACTTTAAGTATAAAAGCGGGGTATTTAATTAAAACTTGATGTTGGCAGATCGGGAAGCAAACTCATAGTGACGGGGGTCGATGAGCGATAGCGAGCATGGTGTCCAAGGAGTTGAGCCCATAAATTTTGAAGAAAAAAATTGCTTATTAGTAGTTAGGAAAAATCATGAAATTTTTTGCCAATTTAAAATTATTAGCATTCGTACTTTTTTATATTAATTTAAAATTTAATACAAAAAAGGTAAATGGCACTAAAAGGGTTCGTCCACTGTTGCAAAAGGGACATAACGAAATAAAAGAACAATTCCTTTAGTTGTTTTAGTCGTTCGGGATGTTTTAAAAGCATTTTTTTTTCTTTTTTTTCGATTTTCTCATACAACTCTAAATTTCTTTTCTATTTTGAAATAAGAAAAGCGTCTCTGTTTGCATCCACCAATGCTCTTATTTTTCGAATTTGTTGAAATTTTATTAACTGTTAACTACAGTAACTGGTACAAAATGTTGTGCATAAAAGGCATAAAACTGACTCCATTATGTTATGCTTGAGAATTTGTATTCTCACATCTAAATGGAAAATGTAAACATTGGAAAAAACAATTATAAAAGAAAATAATTAAATGAAAATATAGTTACATAAAAAAATAGTTTTATAAATATTAAAAAGATTGTTTCTGAGAAATTGAATTTCAAAAAAGTCAGATACTTAAAATTCCATTTTTTCCAAATAAATTATGGGTTGTGCTTTTCCAATTTTCTGTTTATGCTTGTGAGTTTCTGATTTTAAGATTAAATTATAAATTTGAATAAGAATACCCCAAACAAAAATTTATCGTTTTCCACCGAACACTAAAAATTATCTACTTAAAACTTTAAAACAGTATCTCCCAAAACTATTTTCCATTTATAAAATTCAACAACAAGTATTTTAAAGATATTTTAATAATTAATCTCCTCCGTCTGAAATGACTATGTTGACTTGTAACCCCTCTTTAAATATCCCCGTTTTTGAAAAACAAATATGTCCTATACTTTTTTTTATGTAGGTAAACGATGCCTAAATTTAAAAAAAAAAAATTTAGTTCAGGCATTATTTAAAGATCAATTTTCTCAAACCCTTCAACTAATATTTGCCTTTTTCAGAAAAAAAAATGAAAGGAGGGAAAAAGAAAAAAAAGGGGCAATTATTCCTAGTTTCATTGAGGAGAGAAAGAAAGAGAAAAATAAATTTCTTTAAAAAAAAAGGGCATTCAGAACTCATCAGATTAAACAACTGGTTTTCCAGTGAAAAGCAAAAGAAAAACAGAAAGTAATAACTAGAAGGGGGGTTGAAGCAGTTCACTTGTCTGCACCAAGGTCAGCTAGTCGACAGATGACCCAATACATCAGCCGCTCGTTAGCAGGGACGAAGACCCTTGAGAGAGATGGGGGGCCACCACTCGAAATAATGTTCGAAAACGCGCGTGAAGTTTTTTTTCCCCATCATTTACCCACTCTTCTCCACGCTTACCAATCTGCAATGGGCGTTCACAGCATCTTAGAATCCTGTGCTCCAATTGGTTGAAGATAATGGCCTGCTTGTGGCCTCTAGCCAGCAGGGGCAAGTAGATTGTGGCGTCGGGTCACTGAGAGAAGAAGTACTTTTCTGTCTGCAGCAGTTTTCCTGGCGCCTTTTTTTTCCCCACTTCATGATCTTTAGTTTACATCTGCCGTGTTTTTGTTGGAGACGGCCATTCGTATTTAGTCAAGAGAACCTCTTCGAAATATGTGCTCGTAGTTTCTTCTCTGCGGTAATAGTTCGAGTAGAAAAATGATTTACATTTTGCTGTTATTGCTGGGGGTATCTGCATATTCTGAAGCCTCCGAGAGAACATGTGAGCCCATACGAATCGAGATCTGCCGAGATATTGGATACAATGTAACAGGTATGCCGAATCTCGTAGGGCATGAACTCCAACAAGATGCCCAACTTCAACTACAGACATTCCAACCTCTGATCCAGTACGGTTGTTCATCTCGTCTTCAATTCTTTTTGTGTTCCGTCTACGTTCCAATGTGTACTGAGAAAGTACCCGATCCTATAGGACCGTGCCGATCACTCTGTGAAGATATCCGGGATAAATGTCAACCAGTGCTCCAGGAGTTTGGATTCCCCTGGCCTTCTGGATTAAACTGTTCTAAATTCCCTCCTCAAAACAACAACAAACACATGTGCATGGAGGGTCCAGCCGACTCATCTTCTGACCCAAACATGCGCATGCGAAGTAGAAATCGTCGGCCTAATGTTATACGAAATGATGTAACATTTTCAGATCGTAAAATGTTGCCTTTTAACAAGATGTTTTCTCAGCACTATGGACTATGTAAAAATTACAGGTTTTCGGATCAGTACTATTACATTAACCGCACCCAAAAGTGTGCCCATTTGTGTTCAGCGAATATCAAATTCACCCAAGAAAATAAACTATTTGCTGATTATTGGGTGGCAGCCTGGTCTATATTATGTTTTGTATGCACTCTGTTCAGCCTGTTTATTGTGTTTATGGGTGAATATAAATTATCTCGCTTCCCTGAAGCCGTTATTGTGTTTATTTGCATCTGTTTCAATTTCTGTTCTGCTGCCTACATCATTCGATTCTTTGTTGGGAGATATTACTCATCATGTCACATGGATCACCAACATGGTGTGGCTATTTTAGCCCAAGAAGGACTGGACAATGCAAGCTGCATGATCATATTTATTGTACTGTACTGCTTCAAGCTAGCTACAGATACATGGTGGGTGATTCTGTGCATAACTTGGTACTTGACAAACTGTCTCAAATGGAAGGCAGAATCCATTCTTAAATATAGGAATCTCATCCACACTTTTGGCTGGGGTATACCGAGTTGTCTAACCATCGTGGCCATGATTACACGAGTTTCTGATGCTGACGAACTGGTTGGTATATGCTACGTTGGTAACCAGAACACGCAAAATCTTCTGTTTTATGTTCTGATACCCAATGGGCTACATTGGGTCATTGGAATCTTTTTTCTGTTCTTGGCAGCCTTACCCAAGAAATGTCGCAATGAGGTTTACACTCACGTACAAGTCAATCCAAATGCCTTACCCAACACCAGAAATGAAGATGACATGTTATCTTATGTTGGTATATTTGCATATTTGTACACTATTCCCGCTTTGTGTGTCATTTCTGCAGATTTATACGAATATAAAAATCGTGATGAATGGGTCTCTGCCAATTCACAAGCTGCGCCCATTGTCGAGATCTTTTCTTTGAAAGTTTTTATGCTTCTCATAATGGGGGCAGCTGCCAGTTTTGTCATTTTTACATCCAGTGCTCGAAAACGTGCATTTAAAACACTTTGTAGAAGGTTTACAAGAAGGAAAGAACCCGTGCCTTCTTACTTGCGTGTAAATCCTCAAGTTTTGCAAATGTCAGTTAGGACAAAATCTTCACTAAGCAAAACAAATAGTGAGACTATTATGTGATCATTTACATTGTACATATCTTTAAAACTTGTTCCTTATCATTCAGACAATGCAGTTTCAGAAAATAATTTCATATTCTCTTTTGTCGTTTTAAAAAGTAATATTTTTTATAACCTTTTTATGAAAAATCAAAATATTTAGCTTTGTTAACTCATTGGAATAACTTTGTGTGTCTCCGTGTATTTAAAAAAAACTTTCATTTAATCGCGTATGTGAGATATCCAGATCTTATCATTTTAAGAATGTATGCAGGGTTCTGTCCAGGCCAAATTTACCATTTAGCGGTACCTTCACAAATTCAACTTTAGGAAAAACGGTAGTTTTATTTTTGTATCCCGTAAGAAACAATAAGTCCATATCATTACAATATTTTTGTGTTGATTTTTTAATGTAATTTTTAATTTTCACAAATCATGCCTAAATTTTCATAAATTATGTCTAAATTTCCACAAAATAGGTACCTCTCAGAAAAACCTAGACAGACCCCTGGTATGTAAATTATTTTTTGGATTATGTTCAAAACCAACTAATAAATGAAAAAGAGACTAGATGTAAATATATATGGTGAGAAATTCGTGATTTTCCATGAGCCGTTTGTTAAATTAAATTTATCTAAATATAACTGCTACTTTATTAATGATGTACATAATTTATGTATAAAGACTTGTTCTGTGATTTAGATTTTTTGATGTATATGTACATATCTAATGAAATTATCAATTTTTAAATTTAGGTTATACAAAAAATAATATCCTCTTGCTAATTTAGTATTAAATATAGACGGAATTTTATAATCCTCCAAACTTTTCCTTAAAGATGTGTAAATCTCCTTTATTATTTTTATTAATCATTTGATCCCAGATCAAAGGAAAATATTTTGACTGGAGTAGTCAATTTTTTATTACTATTATTTAATTACTATGAGTTTATTATTGAACTTCAATTAATTTTCAAATCATGTATGACTATACTACTGTATGAGTCGTTTTGAATGTTAGTTTTGTTTATCTTCTTTGTATTTTAATTGAAATATTCCAACAATTTTTGTTAAAATATGTTTTATTAGCTTTGTCTCGCAGTAGTTTTTTCTGTCTATAATACAAAAAATTTCTAAAATGAGAAAGCAATAATTTTAACTGGACTTAATGTTTAGTATTTTCATTCTATAATATATACTTAATGTTAAGTTTGTAAGATTTGATGACTGTTAAAAATATATTTCATAAGTTTTAACTGTTAATTTCTTTATATTTCATGATTTCTATATTCTCCAGTATTTAACAATGTTTATGTTGTGCGGGAAGGGAATCTTAAATTTCAATACTAGACTTAAAAGCATCAAAAAAGTAATTTTTCTTTATTTATTGATCATGGTCATGTTTATGAAGTATTGAATTAAATCTTCCAAAACGTTGCACTTAATATAGGAATTTTTACTTCTATTTTTCTATTGGATTCCATTGAATTGATCTTTTCTAATAGTTTGGGAAATTACAAAATGATTGTTTAATTTGTGAAAATAATGAATAAGCAATATGCTTTATAGATAGATTTTTTTCTATGCTATTTTCATTTCACATTTTATTTATGAACTATAATTTCAGTTCTAATTTAAATATATTTTTTTCTATGATTTTTTTATCATTGTTATAAAATTCAAAAAATAACATTTTGTGCACTCTTTAATTCAATATAACATATCTTAATGGACATTTCTAATTTAATTATTTATGTTGCATAATACCAGTACTGTTTTTGTTTTTTTTAATGTTGAGAGGTACTATTAACACTTTTGTATTGTTTTCTTTGTTAACATCTTCAATCTCTGGTATTATTTACCCTTTTTTTTTTATAAGAGAGGAAACTACAACCCTGACATTTTGATAAATTCTAAACTGTATATGCATTGCAAACCTTTAATCATTTTATATATGTAATGTTTAACTACTCTTGGGAAATTCACATTAATATTGTTTATAATCTTCTTAAAAGCAGAAGTAAACAACTATGAATTCTATTGAAGAGAACAAAAGTAAATTTTGATAAATTTAACTGAAATGATATGAAAATTCATAGGAAAGCTTAAAAAATGTGCCTTAGCGAGAATTGAGGAAAATCGTGGAGCACTTATTGGCATATGTCACTCAGAAAGTTTTAAGTTGTAATCCATTCTCATCATTTTTTAATTATTTCCCCTGTCCACATTCTTATTTTGTTTATCTATTCAATCATCCACGGTAATTAAATGGATATCCACAGTAAAATTATTTAAAAAATTGAAATAATAAAATTAAATCTCAGTTTATCTCACTTGAAGATAGATGATAATTATATTTAGGAAATTAAATGTTGTTTTTTTTCACAGATGGTTCGTAATAACTGTAAGCAATTAGTGATTTTTCAGTTGATTGCATTTTTTATGTAGGGGTGATATTTTAATAAATGTTAGTATAAAAACATAGTTTTAAAAAATAGCCATTTAAAGTTTGTACGAATTTAAGAAAATGGATCTTACTAATTTCATAATGATGGAAAAGAATTATTTATCTTAATATTACAGCAAAACTCTTTTATTTTAATTTATTTACTGTATTTTAGTTGGCAAGATTTCCGTATCTTGATCTGTGGCAGAATATCGCAAAGTCTTGGCCACTTCCTGGCAGCGGCTCGCGATAAACTTAAAAATAGTTCATCACAGAAAGAGACCACCTTGAAGGGTGTATTTTTTAGCCACCCCCAGGCAAACCTCTACATGTTTTATTATTTTGTTTTTTATTTTTCCCATTTAAAATCAATTTGACGGTTGTAGCTGGCCTGGTAGATCGAGATGCGGAACTGAGCGGCACACAACCTTTTTCTATACAGGGCAGCAAGAAAAAAGAAGCCCTTGGAGCCGCTATAGATTTAATGTTACATTGTTAATATCTGTTTTTCTTAAAAATTAAGAGACCAAGTAGCAGTTATTTAAGAAGTTTAGGTGTAATATATTTAAATTTAAAGAAATATTTCAAGATTTGCACATTTATTCTTTGAAAAAATTTAATTTCAGCTGGTTTTCTACTTCCTCTACAAAATTAATTTATAAGTTTTTTCTTGTCTGTGAACCATTTCTTTATTTTCTTGATTTATCATTGAATTATGTGTACAGAATTTTAATTTTGATGTTTCAGTTTTTTTTTCTGAAGTTTTTTAAAGTTAATTTGGAAAACATTGTTCTTACACTAATTGTGCAAGTTTTCTTAATTAATTTTTGATTGCAAGTCTGAGAATGTAGCTGCAAGTTTTACACCCCTGTACTATTGTATATAAATGAAAACAAAGTTCTTTAAAAGTAACTAAATCTTTGTGTTATAAGCTATTTTCAATAGAGGGTAATGCCGAATGCGTTGCCAAAATGAATAAGCTTCTTAAATCAATTAAATGCTACAGTCGGGGGGCTGTTTGGATTGTACGAACAATCTTGCTGCTAAGTGTTACTTTACATGTTTTTTATTCCCATTGCAATAAAAAAATACAGTGTTTATTCTGATACTATTTGTATATATTATGTCATTTGTATATAGTCCCATTTCATCTTTGTATGTAAAAATAATGCCTTTATGTACATGTCATTGTATATTTTCATATTAATATTGTTTATAATGAATAAAAAAATCTTTTAGTTTTTTTTCCCGGTTGTTTGTTTTTCTCTTTTTTAAATGCATAAATATGAATTGAATTTATCTAGGGATTCCTATTATGAAACGTGTACAAGTTATTTTGTTTTGTACGGATATTTATATTTAAAAGGTTTCTGAATGTAAAGCTTAATATTTATTGACACAAAAACATTTGCAATAGAAAATATAATACATCTTCTTTGTTCTACGATTTTAGAAAAAAGAATTTAAATTAGGGAATGCATGTAAAGATTCTTATGATGAATGTAAATAATGTTGCAAATGACAAAGTTTATTTATCTATATATTTATATAATTTTAAAGTATTTAGAACATTTTTTTTTTTAATTCTTCTGAAATTTAGTTAAATCAATAGCTGCTTGATTATTTTTGAGGGGTGCTAGCTATCTTAATTTTTTTTTGTATTTTTGTTATTTAATTATTTTTCCATCTTGAGATGCAGACTTAATTAAAATAAACTGTTCTTGAAATTTGTTACCAGATAGTTAATATTGTTTATTTATCCCTGAACAGGATTTCCATGGTTCTTAAAAGTCCTTAAAAACTGCTTAATTTTTATTTTGGAAAATATGAACCCTTAAAAGTATTTAATTTTGGTACAAGGTTTTTAAAAGTCCTTAATTTTTCAGCATCACTATAGCTGATAGGAATTTTTCAGTTCAATTTTTTGAAACAAAGTGCTGTTCTTTTATCACTTAGAATTAGACCATGTATCAAGGGTAAAGCATTTTAGAGAGACAAATAGTAATGTGTGTGTGGGGGGGGGTACAGGCAAGGGAAAGGAAGCATGCCCTTCTATTAATATATTGCTTATTTCATTAATGTGTTCTCCCTTTTGCCTATAATGATACTCTATGAGGAGAGTGCAGCATTATGTAAGAAAAGAATAGTGTGGACAAGGGGGATACTGCACATGGAAGAGATAATGCTTTTTTTGGGGAGGGGACAGTTTTAAGTTACCTAAGTAGAAGACCTACACTAACCTTCAGAATTGAAGAAATTCAGTTCTACTGGTAACACATATATGCTTATAGGAATTAAGTAAAACCTTCTGAAAAGAAGCATGAGAAAAAAAATTTGAACTAGAATCCATAACGAGAACTATTTCCTAAAACCTTGAAGAATTAAATAAATTTATATTATCTTTCAATGTGTAATAAGTAACTATACATTTATAGAAAGCAGTAACATATTTTAAGATTCATGATTGTACTAAAAATTAAACAGATCTGTAAGAAACCGGATTTGAAAAATTCCGGCCCTGCAGCCCACCTAGGATTTTTATCAAAAACCTGGAGTTTATTGTGTTTTTGATGAAAACCTCAAGTTTTTCAAAAATACTTTTAAAAAAGTTTTTCTGATTATTAAAGAAGAAAGAATGATTTGCTTCTATCAAGAAAGTTAAATATTTGGTAATTATTTATAATTTGTTTTGTTGCTTCGTAAATTTTTTTTCAGAGTTTTAGATTGTTACTCTATTATTTTTATTTCTTAAATTTGAGCCGATTGTTACATAAAAATTTAGATCTACTCAATTAAAAGATCCTTAGGTTTTAAGAATCATTTTTTTTTCAGTAGACATTGCAACTTAATATACTATTTTTAATTTTTATTCACATTTTGGTTGCTTTAAAATTAGTTCATGTTTTTTGCCAGAATGTTTAGTAACGTAATGTAAAGTTAATTCCTAATAACAGGTTTGGCTGGAAATAATTTTGTGTAAAATTCATCATAAAAGTAAATATTACACATTTCCTGTTAAGTAATAATTTCAAAATTGTTAAGTTTTCAAGATGTTTTTCATAAAATTGTTCCATATTTTTTTACAAAACATTACCTGATAATTTGACTGTCACTTGTGGTATATGTATATTCGATAATAAACAATCATACTATTCTTAAAGTCCTTAATTTTTCAAAAATGTGCTTAATTTTTGCTTTGTTAAAAGAGTGGGAACCCTGCTAAATATTTTCCTACAAACTTCCATTGTGTGAAAAAAAATTTTTTAAATTCCCCTCCTTAATAAACTTTGCATGGAAAACAAAATTTCCAATTTTTTTCAAGTAGCTGATTTTTTTTTCTGTACCTAATAATTATTAGGTATAACTATTTAAAGAGGAGAAAAACTATTTAAATAGTTTTTTTCCCCATTTCATAACATAAAGAGATAAATTTTGTCATACTCATTGCGATTAACATCTTATTAGCTTCTGAATGTAAAGCAAAATATTTAATGCATGGTTGTATAAAAAATTTTTATTTGTAATATACTATTAAAAATATTCTTTTTTTAAAAGTATAATTATAATTAGTATTTAAGGTCAGATATTAAACACTAATTTTCCTCCACATCTGTTAAATAGAAAAAAAAGAAACTTTATTTCATAAATGTATGTACCTAAACTAACAAAATATCTTGAAGCTTTTTATAGTGTATTTGATTGAAATTTTAGCAATTCATTGTAGTAAAACCATTAAAAAAATAATAAAATGGGCGTCCTTTTAGAAGCAACACTATTTTTGGGTAGAAATATAATCAAATTGTATTGAAAAGGTTTGTATCTTAATCACTCGAAATCAGAGTTTCTTATAATGTCAGTCATGTTCTCAACATCGTGAAGATCCTCATCAAAAATTTTTATCTACTGCTCTTGCTTCTGATATCATGCCTGCTTATTTCATTGGAACCAGGGCCTGATTATAGCCTAGGCCCTATAGGCATGGGCTTAAGACCCACAATTTCTGAGGGGCCTCAAATATTAGTAAAAAATCTGATCAAAGGTGGGCTAACTATGTGTTGGTTTAAGTACTAAACAAAAAATAATTCCAGCTTACAATAAAAAATAATTCAGCTAATCAGTGACTTTTAGCAAAAATCACTGATTTCAAATGTTTGTGGTCACCAAACTATTTTTATTTTGACATAACATTGTTTTGTTGTTTCATATTTTGCTCTAATTTTGAGATGCGTAAACTTTATCTTAGAAAAATAATCTTCAATTGTCTTCTTTCAAAATTTCTTAGAATGTCTCTCTTGAATCATGCAGTTCAATGGATTCTTATTAGGACTACTCTTCAGTAATTTAATTTCAAAACATTTTGTAAGGGGCCCAGAAAATTTGGTGGTCCTGAATTTGTCTTGATCGGTCCCTGTTTGGAACATATAGTTTCAAAAGTCAGCAATTGTGAGGTTTTTTGAGATCAATGGACAGCTTTTAACCCTTCGCAGGCATATAAAGGTTATACATAGTTGTTCAGTAAAAGCTCAACATAACGAGCATGGCATAATACGACAGTTTTTCAGGTCGACTTCAAAAGACTGAAAGATACAAAATCAAACAATCAAAACCAAAGATTCAAAAATATGTTTAAATAAAACTAAAAATTGATTTCACTATTGCTACTCATTTTTTAAAGAAAAATACATTTCTGCTCTGCTGTTAAGTTAGAAAATGCTATATGATTAATATTGAAGACATAAAACCTTTTATGTTTTATTGCGGTCGTTGAACAGACGACCCAAATTTAAGCCTATCAAGGTTCTACTCCGTTGCCTAGTCCTTTTGAACCCAAATCCAGAAAACAAGGGGCATCGAGTATTAAAATTTGCTTTCGTGGAGAACTTTTTGATGGAACTAACATTTGCGTTACATGGAGAGGAAGACCACTTAGCATGAAAGCAAGGAGATTCCAACCCATGATCCGTCTACTACTGAGAATCATCACTGTGGTCGATGAGAGCCGGTTGCATCGACTAGCCATCGCTGGGATCCGAGCCCTGGTCACCTCATTGGGAGGAGAATAATAATAATTTGTAATTCCTTCCAAAAGAATCATTTTTGGGAAACCTGGCTCACACTTCAAAAAAAAGACTCACTTCTACCATATCCAGAGTTCCCATAAACCTTAAAAACTTAATAGTGGTAGTATAAATTTACTTTAAAGGTAATTAAAAAAAAAATTTTTTCTTCTTCTAAGATACAATTTTGTAATTTAAGCGTCTAGTAGGGAGTAGTAATAGACGAAAGTTCTCTATAGAATAATCTTTAAGAAACTTTAATGTTCAAAACTGTAGACTTCAGAAACTTTTCCAGGAAATTATTTTCCAGTTTTTTTCCCGAATTCAACTTTTCTTCGAGATTTTATATTTTACCCTGTGTGCATTTTTTACTTAATTTTTATTTTGCTTTTTTAAGAAAATTTTAAAAATAAGGGGATTTTAATGTCTTTACGCGAGCATTGCTCATACCCCACCCCCCTTGTCGGCAAAAATAAGCTAGTCGCTATTTTATTGCTTACGTCATATTTAACCTGCCCCTTATCTGTCCTTTCTCGTTCTAATATTTATTTACTCAATGTATTCAATTGTTTCATTCATGTATTAAAATAAGAAATTTCGGAAAAAGATTTTCTTTCTAAATAGTGGAAGCCATTAGAGTATGAATAACAACTTGTGAAATATTTAAAAACAAACTAAGCTGTAGCCTCTTGAAACAATTATGTTTCTGATAACTTTTCTTTTATCACTATGAAGTATAAACATTCTCCACATTTTTTTAACAGCATTAAGTGCTGTTGAGAATATCCTGTTGTGCTTTTAGAGTCAATCAATAGCAATTTTTACACTTAATCTCTCTCTCTCTCTGTTCTTTGAACCTTTTACTTTACAGTCTATAAAAAGCTCTACTTTAACATTTTTTTTTCTTTTACACTTTCACTAAAGAAACTCCAAACTAAAAGGGTTATTTTATCGAATTTTGAACCTTTATGAATAAATACTTTTTTCTTTTATAATAACTTTTTATATAACTTTCGTAATTTAATGGAGGAATGAGTTGAAGCTATTAAATGTTTTTTTTATTTTATTTAATAACAATCGTCAAAATATTAAATTACCGAGAAAAGCACTGAGTTTTAAAAACCAATATCAGTATGATCTGCTTTAAAGGAAAACATCATAAGTTAATAGCTGACGTTTTTATAAG